TAGTCTGGAAGAACACATAAGCTATATTTTTAATTGCGAGCGGATAGTCACAGGCGATAGCTAGCTTGAAATAAAGATTTTGACTATGGCCTAGTCACCTCTAACTTAGGGGTCAGAGCCCTCAGTGGGGACGTATTATGATGATGCTTATTTTGGAATAAGGACGTTATTATTGTTTAGTTAAATACTTTTATGTACCAATATATTTATTTTTATGGACTTGAAGTATTAACTATGCTTAGCACTAACAGCCTGTCTTATTAGATGACAAGACAAGACATTTAATTGACGATTAGAATCAGTAATTTGTCATGGTGTGTTGAATGCTATAGTAGAACCCGTTCAATATGACTTCGCTTATACTGACCAACCGCTTATTATAAGTGCGTCAGTGGCTCAAGCATTACAAGTCAAGTAAGTCAAGTCCTGGGTTAGAATCCCGCCACGTATCAATGTGTTTATCAATTTACATATATACATATATCTGACTTTCCCAGTGAAGGAAAATATCGCGATGCAACCTTAATGTGACCCATATTACTTTCATCATCATCAGCTACGTCTCCACCGAGGGTCTCGGATCCTACCCTAAGTTAAGGCTGATTAGGCCATAGTCGACCACGCTGGCCAAGTGCGGGTTGGTTGACTTCACACATATCTTTGAATTTCTTCTCAGATATGTGCAGGTTGCATCACTATGTTTACCTTCACCGTAAGAACGTCGGATAAATGTGCATATGTAAATCGGAAATCGAACCCGGGACCTGCAGATTGCAAGTCAAGTGCTTGACCACTGAGCCAACGACGCTCCTTCATATTACTTTACTAATATTATAAATGCGAATATTTGGATGGATATTTATTTAAAAGTATCTCCAGATTGAATGTATGGATCTTGCTGAAATTTGGCATAGATGTAACTGGCTACTAATTAAGTTTTTTTTTTAATTCCGCGCGATCGGAGTCGCAGCTAGTTTTTCATAAATTGTGCCGGGTATAGTGTTTTTCAAATGAGGCATTTAAGGTTGCAGAATTAATTCACAATTTTTGAAATAATACATAATTAAACAATAGCGATGTTATCTTAACACATTAGCATTATAAATTGTTATCACAATATAATAAAAATACAAACGCAAAGAAGTAATACAGATTTTTTAAGTAAAAAAAAATGTGTGTAAATGTACGTAATTTTTATTTTTATTTTTATGTATCTTTATTTGTATATAATTAAAAATATATCTAACAATAACAGAAGGTTTATTTTTTAAAATATTTTTTACCTAACGTCCGCTTGATATACCTAAACCTTTTGGCCAAACCCAAAGAGGTGGCAGGTTACTTGTCTTGTTATTTTGTTAGTGATCTTCATCTTAAAAGAACCGGGATTTCTATATTTAATGGATTTGGTTTCAGATTTAGACCTTATCCTGGCATATCACTGCTGCGACAGAAGTTCTGGAGTGACCAAGCAAGTCCTGGACCTTCACTTCACGCTGCGTACTCTCTTCACTACGTACTTCAAAGATCGGAAAGTGGAAGATGTGGATCAGATTATGAAAAGCATGTAAGAGTTCACACAGTATTTTATGAAGGAAATAAAATTAAGGTTTAAAGCATAGACGTATTATACTTTTAGAGTGTTCCATTTATAAATATGTAAATCAGCTCTGAACCGGTTCAAAAATTCAGCTCACGTAAACACCGTCGAGTTGCGATTCAATAACTTAATAAGCAGCTCACAGCTCATCGCGTTATACTACAAATATGTGAGTCGACAAGCTGGGACTTGTGACTTGTAGTACGCAGTTCGCAGACGGTGCAAAATAAGTTGAGCTGCGAACCGGTTCATAAAATTCTTAATTAGTATACGTTTTTATATAATTATTTTTTTCTAATTCAATTAAATAAAGAAGTTAAACTGGCCATAAACGAATAATTGCTAGTATAGTATAGTAACTAGTGTTTGAATTTAGCTGTTAGCAATTGCTTATTATTATTTAAATTAAATTAAATACCAACTTTGTCATCAAACGTTTTGATTCAGACGTTTGACAGCTGTCAAGTCTTGATTAGTGATGTACAAAGAAACCGAAAATCAATTTATCGGATTTTAGAATACAATTAAATTTATAAATATAAATTTATAAAAAACTATGTTAATAAAACACATTACTAAACCGTATTTTAATACCCTAATATATTTTGGATTTGATTGTAATGTATGTTCTCATTTTAGACTAATGACACTTCTTGACACACGTTCACGAGACGGATCAGCGATCTGGTTCACTCACTTCATGGATCCAGATCCGAAAGTATTTAACTTCGGACAAGCTATTAAGTAAGTATTTATATGCAACTTAAAAGTTAAGTAATTAATTTTTAAATGATCGAAAAGTTATTTAATCTAGAGGAGAAAAAAATCAAGAAGAAAACAATGAAGATTCTTAGAGTACTATTAGGCATAACGTATAGTGGAAAAGAGACATTATTAAGATAAGTATAAGTTTGAATGTTTGCACAGGACTGTCCTCATGTTGCTAGACCTGTGGCAGTACGAGCAGGGTACGTGGCCTGGCTTTGTCATTGTAATTGACTTCGAACACATGAGTCTGGGACATCTAGCCAAACTGGATCTACAGAATATTCAACAATTCTTGTACTATCTACAGGTACGTTTTAATTAAGATAAATTAAATTGCATTGTGGTGATAACTTTTAAAATAAATAGGTAAGCATTTTTTGAACACAGTATTGAATATTATCAGTACTATTGAATAAACCCGTTTGTCGTTAATTATTGATAATTAAACATGTTAGCATTTTATTTAATATTAAGAAATTGCGTAGTTTCTTTAGAAGGCTACAATATATTAGCTGGTTGTTACATTTGCACTACACAAACAATCCGAAAATGAGTTTCGTAAGCAAAGTCGTCATTGTAACAGGAGCAAGTTCTGGAATCGGAGCAGCTACAGCTATCCTTTTCTCCAAAGAAAAAGCTAACGTGACCCTTGTAGGAAGAAACGAGACGAAACTAGCAAAAGTAGCTGCTCTTTGTATTACAAAGCATCTTATTGTGAAGGCTGACATTTCCAAGGACGATGAAGTGAGGAATATCGTCAAACGAACCCTCGAAGAATTCGGGAAGATTGATGTGTTGGTCAACAATGCTGGGATAATGATAGGTGGAACTATCATAGCGGGAGATATTCTCAGCGCGTATGATAGTGTAATGGCTACGAATGTACGAGCCGCTGTACATCTGACGTGTTTGTGCGCAGACCATTTGATAGCTAGCAAGGGTACTGTCATAAATGTCTCCAGTGCAGCTGGTATTGTGGTACAGTCAACAGGAGACATGCTTTCCTACAGCATGTCAAAGGCTGCATTAAACATATTTAGCCAAGGTGCTGCTTTGGAACTTAGCAAGCATGGTGTTAGAGTGAACACTGTCAGTCCTGGGCCAGTTGCCACGGATATAATCGTGAACATGGCAGGCTCCGACACAACAATTACTTGGAAGGATTTTGAAGGTATTACACTTCTCAACAGAGTCAGCGAACCGGAGGAGATAGCGGAACTCATAGCTTACCTAGCGAGCGACAAAGCGAGGGGCATCACTGGCTCAAACTTCGTCTGCGATAACGGATGTATACTAAAACGTTGATAAAATAAACTGCTATACGACTGTTAGATTATTTTGATTTTATTTATGGACGATGCAGAGAAATCTATCCACACTCCAATTATTACGAAACACAGGTTCAAAAAAGCACGGGTGCTCTTTTGAACTGAATATTATTGTCTACTTATATATTTTTTACCCAAAGACTTAATCAAACTATAAACACTTAATTATTTACTTAGAGACCTATCAATAGCGTCATCATAAAGTTAAAATAAGAAACGGTACTTTACCGACACTGTTCTCCCGACTGATGAATATTTACCATCTTTATCATTTCAAAACATACAAGATGTTCAAACGTTAATTGCTATGTAAAAAAATATCAACAACGAACTTTTCTTGGTTTTGTTTCAAAATACTCTTACCCGAGCGCACGTATAAAAAATCGTCTTTTCTATAAAATACAAGTGTCTTACTAGTACAGCCACAATTACTACTTTTTAATATTAATTGATTACAGGAAGCTATTTTAGTCAAACTGAAAGGGTTACACTTCATCAACGCACCGTCCTTTATAGACAAGATACTGTTAATGATGAGGCCATTTATGAAAAAAGAGCTTATGGATATCCTCTGCGTGCACCAAGTCGGTTCCAAGACGTTAGACAAATACGTACCAATGGAAGCGTTGCCATCTGATGCTGGAGGCAGTTCCAAGAATGTGAAAGAGTATCACGGTACAATTTATTATATTAAGTATTGTAACAAATCTTAAAAAAAATACTACAATGAAAAATTAATCTTCCAACCATATCCGATTTTTAAATTAATATCGATTTATTGGTCATCACGATTCCGGTTTATTGATCCACATCCCTAGTTTCGTGACATTGACAGGTGTCAAATTTGTGTAACGTCTTTTTGTTTAAAATTTTCTTTCTTTTTAGAAGCGGCAATTGCAAAAATGAACGCCAATAAAGAATACTTCATACAGGAGAATAAGAAACGAGCGGTAGAGGCACTTCGACCTGGCAAGCCTAAAACTATATCGGACATCTTCGGTGGCGTAGAAGGATCATTTAAAAAACTTGACATTGATTGAAGCTAATTTACAGTTATATGGGTGTCATGGTAAACATTATTTTTAGGCTAATAATGATTGTATAAATAATGAACATGGGATTTTATTTAAATAATAATTCAAACTATCTTTAAATAAAAGAAACCACTAATATTATTGATTTAATTTTGCGATTCAATATTGCTGTTTCCCATCAAATCAATGGTCTATCTTTTTGTTAATTTCATAACAATTTTGTTGAAACTATTTTAGTGTGGTCAGTATTTAAATACTATTTTGTAGGGCAGTAAATGCAGTGTCTCATTATACAGGTAAATAAAACAAATATAATATTTTATTACGTCATATATTTCACAGAAGCATAGACGCCAGTCAAGTTACTCTTACACCAAAATTGGAATAAAAACCGCGTGCGCCGCACAACTGTGAACAAAAACAATATTATTAAAACACCACTTACTCAAGACATTAAACTTATTCTATATGTGAGTACAAGACAAAACTCTGATTTTACAAAATTACTAGCTGTCGCCCCGACTCCGTCTGCGCGAGATTAAAAATAGATAATAGCCGATTCTCAGACCTAGTCAATATGCTCACAAAATTTCATGAGAATCGGTCAAGCCGTTTCAGAGTGTGGGAAGAAATTGTGACACGAGAATTTTATATATAAGATTTATGAATTGTGCTTCAAAAAAAACTACTTAGTGTACTATGTTTGCTTCATAAACTTACTTCAAATGTACATATACTGTCGTAGTTGATTAATTTTAAGGGTCTGTTCAAACAGACAGGCGGATAAAAAACAAATTTATATTAAGTGAAGCTTAATACAATTGAAACAAGGCTTAATTTAACTTTTCTAGTAGCTAATTACTGGCTTTTAATGTATTTGTCATTTCAACACCGTTATTGTAGAAAAAAAAAGAAACATACCAATATAAAAATATTTAGTCAAAAAGACCGAAGCCCATGTCCTCATCGTCTGATTCGGATTCCTCCTTCTTGGCTTCTTTCTCTTCTGCAAAAGACAAATGTATTAGTATTGAACAGAAATTACACATGTATAAATATTGTTAAAATTTGCCATCAGAATTAAATTGTAACCATCATGGTTTCTCAGTCGAAAGATGGTGTGATTATTAATCATCATTAACTTTAGTATGTAATATTATGTAATTTAAAACACAATAAAAACAAACAATATATCTCTATATAAATAAAGTTTATTGATTACAATGAGTTGGGTAGCCAATGGATACATACCCTTCTTCTCCTCAGCCGCAGGGGCAGCGGCAGCAGGTGCACCGGCGGCAACCGCAACACCACCACCTACTGGCATGGATGATAGCTTCTCACGACCTGAAACGATACATTATTTGTAACATACACTCAGACATACCAATTTTTTAAGGTCTTAGTAGTGATATCAGTGGAAATATTTACAGCAGGATCCTTCAGACGAAAGATGGTGTTGAGTTTAATATCATCATAATTATAGGTTAAACAAAAATTATGTTTGACAAGATATTAAGACATATTTCCAATGCACCAAACATAGTTAAACAAAAAACGTGACAAACTAAAAAAGAAAATTTGTTTGTGTATAGAAAGCATCTCTGTATCTTTATAATTGACTATCATAATCTTTTAACATGAACACCTCTAATATACTAATGTCATTTTACTTCATATACATTAAAATCAATAAAAAACTGATAAAAATCTCACCTTGCGCAACAAGCTCATCAACACTCTTGCCATTGAGCTCGGAGATGACCTTCTTAAGTTTCTCCGAGTCAGCCTCAATGCCCACAGAGCTGAGGATCTTTTCTACATCAGCGGCGGCTGGGGAAGCCTTACCGCCCAGCACGGCTAACAGGTACGCGGCCACGTAACGCATTCTGAAATGTTAGAGAAATATTTTAAAAAAGCAGGTAGACAAAGACATAAAAAGTATGGATTTATAGGCACGACTTGGTGTTTACGTTCTGTCAGTGCTAATTTAGAGGGCTACTATCATACTTCACTGGCTTAATGTTCTACGGGCATAACAAAATCATCCTTAGAACCGATTCTACGTTGGTAAGGGTCATAACTTGTAAAAATAATTCTATGAATTCGTGTTTTATATTTATCCACGAGGTACGTTTAAAGGGCTGTTTACACTTTTTGGGCACGTGACAAATAATTGTGTAAATGAAAACCTTAACCTCCATGCTGCCAAGTGTTTTGAGCGAAATTTTTGCCGCCATTATTTTTAACGAATGTATTCAATATCTGCCACTGTGTTTTATATTAACAGTTTAACAACGGCCGGCACAGTGAAAACAAGTCTATCTGTAATGTGGTAATTACTAAATATAACCTAAAACGGAATATACCTCTATGATGATATTCTAGACTAAAATATACACTGATCAAATACACAATATTAATGATTTAAAACACATCAATTGATGTGTTTATACATATATGATATATCAAATACACGTGTTGTTATTCACAGTTAAAGACATCAACACTCGAAGTATTAGTCCGCTTAAAATTGATCCACTTGAATCCTAAATATTTCAAGTTTTATGCACACGGATATAATTTAAATTCGTTAAATACACACTAGAAATCACATTTAAATATTTATTTTAATTAAATTCACTTACTTTTAAGTCGTAATGACACGAAACGTGTTATGCCGAAAATTGACGATAACTTGAAAGAACTGTCAAGAATGAAGACAGATTTTTTAAATAATTTTGATTGTGTTGCCAGTGTGACATTTCACGTTCCTTTTTAAGTCACTTACTTTCTTCACAACATTTTTGGCATTGGAATAAAATTATGATATACTTGGTTAGCGTAATTTAAAAAAATTCCAGGTCCCAAGTTTTATAAAATAGCTTTTATTTTGTGTTTATAAATGTTTTTCTGAAAAGTTCGAAGGACAGACAGAGACATCTGTTTTCATCTATGCATATTTCGAATACACTTAAGTTTTTATGATATTATTCTCACTAGATGTCACTGTTTGGTCTAATAAATGATCTTTCTTCAATAAAAAGTAATAAAAGAACCAACTCTCTGAGGCTCTGATAGATGAAATAGCGCCATCAAAGTAGTGACGTCCAAAATATTGTGTCTCGTACCTTTGTTTCTCTATCCATGCTATAAGATTATAACTATGACGGACAATAGCTATTGAATTTACATACAAACAAACCCACATACATAAAAAACCCTACTTACTCCTTACACTTACATTTTAATCACTTTTCCTTTCTCACCATTTTATATACCATGAATGAGTTAAAGGGCTTATTTACAAGATTTAGCTTCCGTTGTTATGAAATGTTAATGTGACATTTTCATTTCATTTGAAACAATAAACATTCATTGACAATTTACAATCAGCTTTTGGGTTCGAATCCAGTATAATTTTAAATGTTAAAAATAAATCGTACAATAATTTTCTTTAAATGGTGTTGCCACTTTCTTAACCACACGACATAAAGTTCTTTGAAAAAAGGAAGTAACACGACTACCTGGAAGACCGCTTTAGAAAAAAAACAAGTGAGATTAAAAAAAATAACGGTAGGTTATAGAATTAAGTGTGCGAACCAGAGTTCAAAATAAATATTTCTTAATCAAACTGCCAAAAATTGTCTGATTAAAATGACAATGCACAATTATCTAAAAATTAAGGCTACAACAATATTAATACCAAAATCCAAACGCACAAACGAATGTATTACATTTCCGAATGAATCACAAACAGAGGCAGTTCGGATAAAATATTTCAAGCGCGAGTAATGTACTGAGGATAGGGTGACCATGTCCATTACTGGTTATAGAGACTTTCTATAAAATAAATATTGAGAGTTGTACGTTTGTCATCATCATATTAAATAGTAATGACAAACTAGAATATCTGATCAGGAGAGCATAGGTCAAACTAATTATGATAACTCACTAGCGCCCTCCTGTTAATATAAAAAAAGTGCCACAGTATCTTTTTCGTACTGTAGTTGTCATATTGTATTTCTTCTTTTTCTATGCCTACGTAGGTTTTATATATTTTAAAACAGAATTAACCGCGATAGCAGCGCCTCGCTCGTTGAACCAGATATCCTTTTTTGATTCAAATGAAAAAAAAAATGAAAAATAATTTATTAAAATCCAAGAACATAAGTTTAGATTAAAAAGTTAAGCTAAGAAATTTAATGGATATAAAAAATGTGGGTGTTACAAGTATTTACCAGTATCCTCGCACTAGGCGCAGCCTGTGTCGCGAGGATCCTGCTCTTAAGTTTTATCAGAGCTTCGTTAGACGGCAACAAATTAAGTAAAATACAAATAATCAAGTGCCATTAGTTTTAGAAAAGTAGCTAAATCAAAGTTACACATGCTAAACATTAGTGATAAACTTAACATATTATTTTAAGAATGTCTTCTGTGTCCTTGTACGTTAGTTTCAGCAACCATGACTTTAGTTTTATTTTGGCTTTGGATTATAACAAGTCTTGGTAAATTTTTAATAAATTTTTGTTTAAAATTATAAAATATGTAAAAATCAATATGTATGTATATGGAGGCATCAAAATTTTAATTAAACTTATCAGAAGAACTAAACAATTATAATCTTATTTGGCATAGAACAAGCAAAGAAACACATGTAAATGAAGTTAAAATAGTACTTGCTAATTTTTATAACGGATTTATGTGATTAATATGGCAACCCTACGTCAAAACGTTCTCGACCCGGTTATTGATGCAAGCAAATTAATCTTGCGGGCCACAGATAGCATCTGAGCCTGAAATAACACAAACGTCTATTATACTAATCATTTCCCTTGCTTGCAAGAAATTGGCCGAAAAAATAATTTTAAAAATAACTACAGCCAAAGAGAAATAGAAATCATGAATTAATATCACACATGAAGAATATTTTCAAAGCCGATATATCTGGACATTCATAAATTAACATAGAATTAAAATTATTACAGATCGCTTCTCCGATTTACGCATACGTCGTTCGGTATGTTGTACAATATTTTTGTGC